AATCCAGCCCAGGCCCGCCAAACAACAATGATGGCTACAACCAAAAAATAGCCAGGCGTTGCCGTGGGTGCCTGTGGTCCCAGCTACTTGGGAAGCTGAGGCAGGAGACTCGCTTGAGCCCAGGCCTTGGAGGTTGCTGTGAGCTGTGATGCCACAGCACTCTACCCAGGGGGACAGCTTGAGGCTATCTCAAAAAAAAAAAAAAAAAGGAAATATAAGTCCACCAATACCAACATGTATATTTTTGTGCCTTATTTACATCATACAGTATAAATTGTATATATTTTTATATGAAAATGTCGTGGTGAGTTAAATGGTACCTCTAAAATTTTGACAAGTCCAAGAAACAACTGGAGATCTTGATAAATGCAGATTTTTTTTTTGAAACAGGGTCTCAAGCTGTCGCCCTGGGTAGAGTAACGTGGCATCACGGTTCACAGCAATCTCAAACTCTTAGATTTAAGCGATTCTCTTGCCTCAGCCTCCCAAGTAGCTGGGACTACAGGCATGCACCACAACACCCTGCTATTTTTCTTTTTTTTTTTTTTGCAGTTGTCATCGTTTTAGGTGGCCCAGGCCAGATTCGAACCTGCCAGCCTCACTGTATGTGGCTGGCACCCTACCCACTGAGCTACAGGTGCTGCCCTAAAATGCAGATTTTTATAGAAGATATCGGGTGAAGATTTAATTTATAAATTTCCAACAAGCTCAACAGAAATGCCTATGCTTCTGTCCTGTGATAAATTTTGTCAAATATGCAGTGAATTGTAGACACTAGATTTTTCCCAGTTGATTTCTTAACCAGTAAACAAAGATGACAACTTTACTTTCCAAAGCAAGGTATTATGAAAGTGAATCTAAGAAGGGGCACTTCCTCAATAAATGTTTTAGTTTGTGCACCTTAGTTGATAATCTCCCGAACGTACTTATTAATAATACAGAAGTGAGTTTCTTATTTCTTGGCCTCCAGTGACCTCCCCTGCCAGCAATTTCTGCTATGGAAATGGAAATATGGGCTCTGGGACCACTTTCTGGAAAAAAAAATAAACTCAGTTGTAGGAAATGTATCTGGAAACCCTCATGCTTAATACTGACCTAACTTTAAAATCACATGGAGGAACTTAATTGAAACCATATGGATGGCACGGTGCCTGTGGCTCAAGTGGCTAAGGCACCAGCCACATACACCTAAGGTGGTGGGTTCAAATCCAGCCTGGGCCCGTCAAAACAACAACGATGGCTGCAACCAAAAAATGGCCAGGCATTGTGGTGGGCGCCTGTGGTCCCAGCTACTTGGGAGGCAGAGGCAGGAGACTTGCTTGAGCCCAGGAGTTGGAGGTTGCTGTGAGCTGTGATGCCATG